CCTGGGTTCAGGCAATTCTCCTGCCTCAGCCTCCTGAGTAGCTGGGATTACAGGCACGCGCCACCATGCCCAGCTAATTTTTTGTAGTTTTAGTAGAGACGGGGTTTCACCATGTCGACCAGGATGGTCTCGATCTCTTGACCTTGTGATCCACCCGCCTCGGCCTCCCAAAGTGCTAGGATTACAGGCGTGAGCTACCGCGCCCGGCAATTGGTAAGATTTCTAAAATCAAGAGGAAGAATAAAAAAAATTAGAATTATAAAAGTAACTCTAAGGAACTACTTTTCCTCCCCTGAATCATGTTACTCTGTAGCTGTGTTGGCAAGACAGTGATTTCTTGATTTCAGTTTCCTTAATATTCTAGTTGTTTAAATTTCACTTTCTAAACATTTTCATGAGTATTTTTGTCAAAACTACTTCTGCTTAGTTCTTAATCAGGCCCTCACCACCTCTTCTCTCTGTCATTCCCCAAACCCATGTCCCCACCCCACTGTGATTCCCTTCGATCTCCTTAAAATTCTAGGATATTTTAATAAGGAAATACCAAATGGAAACTGGCACTACTAAATTTTCTGAAGAATTCTAGAGAATGTTTACTTTTTCCTTTTCTTAAAGGAAAAAAAAACTTGCCTGCAAATATTTAAGCTCTAATCATTTGATTAAAATTTTTCTGCCTGTAATTATCAATATCATGACTAATTAAATCCATGCTACATACAGTTACTAGCCTTTATGCAAAAGGAAAAGCCCACTCTGTCAATATCATTAAAGAAAAATGAGAATTATTTATACTAGATACAGATTAAATTGGCTAAAAACTGGTCAGAGCCAAAACAAGTGTCTTTAGGAGGCCACTAAGTTATCTTTGAAAAATCATTAATGAATGACTGGTTAAGTCAAGTTTAATAGTTATTAGTTCATAACATGCTGCATATGCCCAAGCAATGAAGCATAAGCTATTCAATTACATTTAAGTGCTATCAAATCTGTAATTAGTCAGAGATTCTGGAACTGAACCAAACCAATCACTAATATCATCATATTTTAACAAACTCAAAAAGTATACTGTAAAAATACACTAAGTTCATGAGGTTTGTAATGCTATTAAAAGTGAAAATAGGTTAGTATGAATACATGGTGCTAATGTTTTTTTTTTTTTAGTAATTCTTGTGGTATTGCTGGGTCTCTCAGGAATACGCATCATTCAATTTTGAGCACGTAGTGTTAAGGTGTATGATTACCACCACAAGCCATAGACCCCTGCATGGTACCACATTTACTGTCAGGAATAGATGTTATGTGGCAGGTACCAAAATGTGATGATCAACTCTGTGTTTTCTATTGATTAAACCTCCTCTTTTGGTTAAACAGCCAGTGTATACCAGAGTTCTACACAGGCCAAAATTATATCACTTTTAGAGCAGCAATACGTGATCCAAGGTTTTCTTGAAGGTAGTGCAAAAGATGCAGTTCATAATGTTCTCCAGACTCAGGAACTCTTATGCTGTGTCTCTCCTGAGGATAGATCTTACCAACAACAAAAAATAAAGATACAAAAAAAAAAAAAAATTTAGTAATACATCTTCTTCCAAAGCTTTCCAGAGATTTTTAACAGGATTGATAACTATGAAGCACAGCCTCTATGCAATATTGTGACATAAATCCTATCTAAACACTGCTCTCGATTCCCTTATTTAACATTAGGCTTAATGAAGGATTTATCTGTGGACCAATGGTTCGTTCTCTAAGTGTGGTCTACAGACTTTGAGAGGTCTCTAAAACCTTTTCAAGGGATACACACAGTCAAAACTACTTTTAGAACAAGACAAAGACATTATTTGCCTTTACTCACTGTGTCAGCATTTACAGTGATGATGCAAAAGCAAAGCAGAGTAAAACTGCTGGTGTCTTAGCACGAATCAAGACACTATTATTAAACTCCACTAGATGTCACAGCACTCCTCACCACCACACACTTCCAGTAAAAAGAAAAATGCCAGTTTTGCTTAAGTAGAAGTAAAAATTAGAATCTATTAAGTTACAGCTCTTGAGTAGAAGTCTCTTTAATATTTTGTGTTTATGAAATGTGAACGCATAAAGCATCTGTGGTATAGGATGTCTCAAGGAAAGATACTTGTGTGAGTGAGTCACAAGCCGAACTGCTGCTTTTTAAATGGTATTCCATTTTCTTTTTTTTTTTTTT